TGTACCAGGAGTGAATAAGTTTTTCAAAATGTCCCAAGATATCTTTGCAGTGCTCTTTTCTCAGAATCCCTTTACAGATAGGAGCTCCCAGATAGGTAAAAGGTAGGTTCCCTCTTTTGATTCCTAGAGCCTTCTCCATGTGTTGATTTTGGGAGCTGGTTGTGTGCTTTGATGTGTAGAATCTGCTCTTGTTAAGGTTGATCTCTTGCCCAGTAGCCTTGAGGTATATATCTAGAGTGACCTTGAGTTTGAGCAGATTTCTATTGTCTCCCCTGGAAAAGATTATAATGTCATCAACATATATAAGGTGGGAAGGAAATAGGACCTGGCCTGAGTTGAATCTGAGCAGGTGGTTAGTGTCCATCTGCATATTGATGAGCCTACTGAAACCTTCTGCTGCTAGGATGAAAAGAAGGGGTGAGAGTGGATCTCCTTGTTTTACCCCCTCTCCATTTTGAAAAATCCTGATGGCTCTCCATTGATGAGTATACTGAAGAAAGTCCCTTTTAAGTTGGCCATTAAGAGGGAAGTTGATAGACTGTTGAATCCAAATATCAAAAGTAGGGCCTCTAAGTATGAGGGGCTGGCGTTAGGCCTTGGTTTGATCCTCCCCTCACTCTGTGGTGACGAATAGATCTTAATAAAATTCGGTAAGGGTTGCCTAGACCTTACCCCACCAAGCTTGGTGGTTTACCCACTGGGAGTAAAAAAAAAAGTAGGGCCTCTAAGTATTCCCAGTCAAGTTTATCAAAAGCTTTTGCCATGTCCAATTTGATGATTAGATTACCTCCATACACTTTTTTTATCCAAAAGGTGAACTGTTTCATGGATGAGTGTTTCTAGTTGGAAATACATGTTTCATGGGATGAGTGTTTCTAGTTGGAAATACATGTTTCATGGGACGGAGGGAGTATATGTTAAGACAAATCAAACAAGATCACACATGACTATATTTAGGCTTACACATTGAGACAATTTGATGAGTCAAAGTGCTTAGATGAACAGTTCCAAAAGTCAAAAGTAGACAAAAATTGGTGGACGGAAGGAGTATTAGCTATTTGTGTTGCATTCAAACATCATTTCTTACTTGCAGGTTGAATGCATTTCATTTTTATTTCTAGATTCTTGCCCATTACCCACAGGCCACAACTTAGTGATGGTTTTTGGTTTAGTGTAGATTTTTGTACAATTCAATTCTTTTTTACATGTAGGTTTGGTGTTAGAATTCTTATTTAAATGTAAGTTTAGTTTGAATTCGTGATTTCAATTCAAATTGTATAATTTTTTTATTCTCAGAGAAAGTATAATTTAACATGTATACCTATTTAGGTCATATTTTAATATCAAAAAAATGTAACTATAAAATAATGTTCTTCTTGCTTTATCTTTTTATTATGTACTTTGTCAATACTAGAATCATCTTTTTTCATCTTGATTTTATTCTTTTTCAATTTTTTAATAAAATTGTTTACTCTTAAACTATGATTAGAGTAGCTCGGTAGGAGTTTGGTGTTGTAGAGGTTGTTTAATTTTGTGATGTGTTGTATTTGTTTGGAATCTTCTGATATTGCTTGTACTTGTTGCTTATACTTGGTGCTTTATTTGTGTTATATTGTGTTCCATTCCATATTTTTGTGCAGGTGGAGCCGGGGGTCTCTTAGAAACAGCATCCCTACTTCCAAGTAGGAGCAAGGTCTGCGTACACACACCCTCTCTAGACCCTACTGTTATGGGATGAGATTCACCTGGGTTCTTGTTGTTGTTGTTATTTACTCTTAAAATTTATTTTTAAAAAAATCCATATTTTTCCCTTATATTAGGCACTTATCACACTCTTTCCCTTGGGCACTTATTGCACAAAGTGCGATATTAGCTAGTTATTTTTATAAACGTAAAAAACTGTTGTGCCAATTTCACAATTTTTTAAATGCCGTTTCATGAAACTTTTCGAATGAATTATAGGAAAACATTTTTCTGTAAATGGAACTAATTTTTTTACAACTCAAAACAAGTTTTCAGTACTACATACAATTTGTTTCAAAAGCCACACTAAAATATTTTTCCGATTATCCTAAAAATAATTCGAACTAACTTTGCTGGTAATCAGCTATTTCTTTTTCCAAAATAACATTACTAGTACTATTTTTCCAAAGACGGCACTACAAATGTTTTTTTTTTGAAAATTCATTGCTATTTTTTCCTAAAAAACACTACAAAATTTGCGAGTCGTTATATTTTTAAAAGACTAAAACCAATATTTGATAAGAGCATATATTTATTCTTTAAAAACATATTCTCAAATTTTAATAGTATTTAAAAATAAAAATAAAATAGGAGAATTATCTCAAATAATCACACTTTTCATTTCTTAACACAAAATAAGTCTTTCAGAAAAATCTTTAGGTCACCTTTACCACTCTAAGCTTGTGGTTGTACGCTGACTATTATATATTCCAACACGCCATTCACGTGCAGACTTTTCTTTTGCTCTAATCTTGCACATGGACATTACTACGTAATATTAATAAGATTGTGTAGCGGTGAGTTTCGAACTCGTATCCTCTAAATCTCTAATACCCTATCAAAGAACCAATTCAATCAAAAGTTCTAATTTGTGATTATAGACCCAAGAGATATTTAACATTCAAATAATTATTTTTGATAATTCTTACAAGACAAAATGTATCAAGAGAACCATTGGTAAGAGAAACACAAGGTTAGGAGAGGGCTAAAATGTGCATCCACCTACCCCCCTCAAACCTCTATTTACTTGTTGATAATTAATTAGTAGGTTGTCTCTTATTAATGAAGCACAGTCCAATACGAAATTACGAATGTTGGTAATTCTAATAAATAGAGACACTCCCCGCAAAAAGGAGTTTCATTTGAAGTGGGTACGTTTTGATTGAAAATTATTGAACTAAGCTTTCACAAAATTGGATTGAAATTTAACTAAAACTTAAATGCTCCCCTCGTCAACTATTTTTAGATAAAGAGAGATCGACACGAAAATTAAGAACAGTAAAATTATGCTACTAGTATTGGGCTCCGTTTGGTATCAGCGTTAGAGATTAGCGTTAGCGATTTGAAAAAGCTATCCGACGGTAGCCTTTAGTGTTATTGTTTTTAAAATTAATCTACACCATTAAAATTTTATCGAAAACGCTAACGTTAATCGAAAACAGTGTTCCCAAACAAGGCCTTGATATCAAAAATAATAAGAAAAATAAGATAAACTAAAAATTAATGTGACCTAGACAAATTTGACTAAATATGATAGGACATAAAAATAAAGGGACAAATACAAAGATAAAAAAGAAAAAATAATAATAAGCTAGAGGGAGTATACTTTAAGCGAAAAAGGTGTTAGCTAAATGCATTGAATTAAAAATAACTCAAAATGAAC